AACATCCATTTCAAACCATTATTCAAACGATATAGCAGAAACAACAATCTGTCAGGAGTCAAGTTCCCGCCAAAACCTTTTTTTTATATTGTTTACAATATAGAGTTATCCATCTATCGAGCCGTCCACTTTATTAACAACACTTATTTTTTACAAAGTTAGAAACAATAAATAATAAGGAAGGCTAATATAACGCACTAACGTTAACATAAAGCATTTTTACTTGACCTAAATAATAACTAGGTATCTTGAATAATAAAATTTAATAAGCAAGTGATACAAATGCACCTAATAAAAACTAAGATATTCACTTCTTAACCTATATCGGAGTTTATGCTCAAAATCATTTACATATGATAACCACAGCATCAGAATACAACACTTTGTAGTAAAATATTTTAATGTTGCTTCATAAGCTTAATACCTTTATGCAGCAACTGTGTTTAAAGCAAGGTAAACAGTTTACGCTATCACTGTTCTTATTATGTCTCTTTTTAACCTACATCCTTTTTTTGTTTTTTTTTTTATATGAGAGAGGGGAAATGAGCATGCAGCTCACATGATGGAGACTACCACTGCCCATGAACAACTGCAATAACATAAAAATTGCAGATGCGTTGCCGGCCTTTTAAAAAAGAGTAAACTCTTTTCTTGTAGTTCTCTAAGTCGTATCGGTCCGGAAATAGCTGGTGGTAGTTGATTCCACAAGGAAGTTGTGCGTGGAAGAAAACTTTTAAATCGCACAGAGGTGGATCGCCAAGTACCCCGATGGTATGGACGGTAACTTGAGTTTTGTCGCGATGTACGATGGTGAAATTGAGCGGCTGGAAATAGTCCGAACAATTCGTCTGAGCACTCACCGTGGTAGATACGATAGAATGCGTTTAATTAATTAATTCACTTCTCAGGTCTATACCGACGGGGTGATTATCAATATTTATAAATTAAAATAATTTTGTACAATGATTTCTTATATTTACGCGAACACTACATTGATTAAAACTACTTTTACGGATTTTCGAAAATCCGTAAAAGTAGTTATAATCAATAAAATAATTTTGGTTGTAGCATAATGTATGTATATGACCGTGTATTATTCTTACTACCTTTTCCCTTGCATTTTGTAGACTCAGAATTAGGAATCAAATACATCAGAATAAATTTTTACATCTTAATAAGGTGCCTCCGACTTCTTTTCGTATTTAATTAGTCAAACCTATTGTCTATTTCAAGATAAGAAACAACCATAGTTCTGATAAAAATAGCAAGAAAAAGGTAAAATAAATACTTAATTTTCGATATCATTATAATTTTTAGTAAAATAAGTGCCTTCATCTTTATATACTCATACCTACTATAGAACAACAAACGTTCAGAATATATCGTTCAAATCCCACACCTATGATACTCATCAAAACTCTACATTCATTCATTAAGAGGAAATATAACCTCAAATGGCTTAGCAAGATCCTCCGTTGTACCGAAAATATTGCAGCATTAATTTTTAAATAAATATATGGTAAAGTTGAGAATTAATTTTAAGGACTATGTTAGACGAAAACACGATTCCGTAAAATTTTCTCGATAGAAACAAAATCCAAAGTTTGCTCCAAAATAAACAATAAACCGCTGTTAACATACTTTAAATAGGATCATGAAACTTTCCTTACTAACTGAACTAACTATAAAGCAGTGCTTATGTTATTTAAATTTTTTTAAATACCATTATTTTCACTGTAAAAAGAAATTACCTAAACTATCGGCATCTTGAAGCTTGATTCCTGCCGCCCGGTCAGTTTCGCTTCGGCCTTTGAAGGGGGAGGTTGTGTCGCTTTACGCAACAGGACGACGTAAAATTAAAATGGGAAATAACCGTAATAAAAATAAGAAGCGACTGGGTTGGCGTTAAGAAACAGGCATAAATATGATAAACCTAATGAAATAAGTATCTAACGACCTATCTACTTACCGTATTAGTGATTACAAACATGTCGGTACATAACATACGCGGGAAAGTGGGGGCGAAATTAGAATTTGAGCTGACTTACTATATCCCCTTAAGCCTGTTCGTCCATAAAACGATCATCCTGTCTCAAATATAAACTTTCCATAATACATAAAACTTTCAAGCCAAAGACTTTCTAATCAACTAAAAAACCCTTTTTTAAGTGATGGAAAAGTTACGAGGCTATACATCTTCCCAAAATACTCCACTCTGTTTTTCATGTTATTTGTAAATTCTGTTATTTGAATTGAGATCGGAATAAGCTCTTGATAGATATCATAGGTCGACAGCAAAAAGAGGTTCTTTTGTATAAATGTTACATGATATCTTCATTAATTGACAACCTCGTTGACCTAGTGGTCGTTAGAACGACTGCTGATCAAGAGGTCCAGGTTCGTATCCTAGGTCTGGCCAAAATCAGTTATTCCGTATTTCTACCAAGAAGTTTATCTGTCAGCAGCCCAGAATCTGGAAGTTGGGGGTATTTAACCCAATTTTGGCCCTGCGCCTGTTCTCCCTCGTAGCCAGCCGGATTACTCATGCAGAAAGTTCTATCGGCGATCTATTCGAGTCTATGTGAGTGAAGGAATAGAGAGTGCACCTGTGCTTGCGCACATACTCGTGCACTATAATTCTGCGCTTACGGCGGCGATTGCCATAATCATCATCATAATCATTTATTTGCCTGAAATATGGTAGAGGTACACAGGATGTTAAATTAAGTTATAGCACATGGAATATTTCACCCACTTGGATGCAAAATTATAGTTAATTTGCAACAATTATTTAAATAAAATTACTATTATTAGAACTGTGTGAATTACAATTTATGAGAACTATTTGAATTACAATTATTACGATCTTTTAACATTAAATTATTTAAATTACAGTATTTACAATTACTTAAATTATTAAAATATTATTATAGACTAAGTTACAGGAAAAAAAGTAAGAGCTGGTATCTTAGTGGGCACAAAATCAACATGTGTTTTTATTCAAAAAATCTTTAAGAGTATAGAAACTCTCCAGGGTTAACCATTCTCGCAAAGCACAACAGAATCTTTTATATAGCAGGTTATTTGAAGTTGTAACAGGAATGGGTCGGCTCGACCGGGGAAGGACCACGCTCTCGCAGAATACCAGCGTGAAACAGCAGGACAGGCATTTTTAAGGGTAGCTGGTTAATTTTACCTTTAAATGTATTGTCGTTGGTGGTGAAAGATTCCTGCCGGATTTAACAAATTTAGTTGTTACGTAGATTTATATGTAGGGTACATTTAGTACGATTCTTAGATTTAAAGATCGGTTTACATGATTCCGACCATTCCATACCGTACAGTGTTCGAAAGCATTTTTTCTGTGCTACAAACTCCCTTGTGACGTCACAGGAATTTCCCCAGACAACTCTGCCATACCATATAATTGAGCAAATGTAAGCGTAATATGCCTAATAGAGGACGTCTGCTCGTTGCTGCTGCTGTCACGTATTTTACCGAGGTGCAAAACCAAACTTGTTTATTTTTATGCATAAACTAATAATATGTACTTTTCATGAAAAATGTGTATCGAGAATAATTACTAAGAATTTTGCGCTGTTTATCTGTTGTATACGTGAATTATTATAACTAATATTTAATTCAATGTTTTTACTCTTAAAAGTTAAGAAGTTAATAGTTTCGTTTTCTTTATGTTTATTTTTAATTTATGTATGTTTGACCATTGAATGATATCTAACGTTTTATATATTTCCGTATCATTTGTTTCTATATTTTCTACAGTCCTTAATGATGGTCGTGTCGTCTGGGAACAAGACACAATCATATTTGAGTACACGTGGAATTGTTATTGACAGTTTGATTGGGTTGGTATGTCGACATCAAAGATGTGGTGAATAGTTGAGCGTCTGGTTGACCAATGAAAGGAGAAGGAGGAATCAAGTGACAACGCCGTGGCATTAATAAAAATAAAAGAAATCTTATAAATATTAGGAATATTACATACGGGATAATTTGAATTTGACTTTCACTTTTATGGAAAGTCATATTTTTCACCGAAGTTAGTTCTCTCATAAACTTCCGTTAAGGAAAATTTGACCTAGTTTAATATTATTGCATCTATGAGCGGTTTAATGGAAGAACCTTCAATAAAAGTCCCGAATACTTGAAATATTTTAAAAATTGGTTTAAAAAAAATTCAGTGTGCAAAAACATCTTATAAATTTACTCCTCAGTGCAAATCATAATATATACTAGAATATATTTTTTCTAAGAAATCGTTATATGCCAAGCGCTATTATTTTTTTTTGGATATTTAAACTAATCGAGGATTGGATACTAACGATATCTTTAGAGATTAAAGAACAATTGCAAAAAATTGATGAAACGCTTGGCATATAACGATTTCTTAAAAAAATATATTCTAGTATATATTATGATTTGCACTGGGGTAATTTATAAGATGTTTTTGCACTGAATTTTTTTAAACCAATTTTTAAAATATTTCAAGTATTCGGGACTTTTATTAAAGGTTCTTCCATTAAATATATATATATATATATATATATATATATATATACCAAGAGAAAGATAATTTCCTAGTAACATCAGTATTTTGGATAATATGTTACTTACGGAAACCTACTGTATTTTAGACAAGACCTAAGTCCTAGTTTAGTTAGTAGTTAGTCCTCTTTATATAGAAAAGAAATCTGAGAACGTGTGCAAGATTAGCCGTAGCTAGTTATATTGGAGGGTCTTTTTTTTTGGTTTCTTTACGCTAAAAACTTGAAATAATATTCGTTTTTGCGACAATACGTAATCATCGACAGAATATGCCACTTTACTGATTCGAATTCTGTAAATTCAATCAAAGTGGGCAAAATTTCTATACTTACATATTCGATTATACATTCGAAGGTGAATGACTCAGTTGAAATTGCGATTGTCTTACAATTAACATTTTTTGATAAAAACAATGAAATAATTTACTCCTAATCATGAAGTTTCCATTGACGATTCGAATTGGAGGTTGGCTGACTTTTTTTATTGGATAAGGTGACAAACGAGCACACAGTATACTCTGATGGTAAGTGGTTGCTGTGGCCCATAAACATCTACATCTATTCTCGATTAGAATCAAATGCTGATGCGTTGTCACCCGTGAGGACTAAGTTGGAATGCCTCGTTTCCAGTAAAAAGGGTCTCCGGTTCTCTACACTCACCATACGAAACACAGCAGCATTACGCTGCTATTTTACGCTGGTATTCTGTGAGAGCGTGGTCCTTCCCCGGTCAATTCGACGCATTCGTACTACAACTGTACTACTAATATAATTGCAGCATGGCTCTACCACGTACTAAGATTAGTACTAGTACGTGACTTCACTTTCTGCAAAATATTTTTTAATTTTATAGACGTGCAGATGAAAACCTTACCTGTTTCTACTCAAAAATGAGAGGTGGTCTATACCCAGAAATGGAACATATACAGATTGTAACTTTAGTTAACTTTATAAAATTAATTAAAAGAACAGCTGCTTTCGTAGCATATGGCGAAGAGGCCACGCATTACCTTTTTTATTAAAACTCCACTGTAACTATAAGCTGCGTGGAAAATATTCATAATGTATGTATAATTTATGTGGATTTAGATGGAAGTATTGTTATTTTTGTTTGTGTATATGTTTTACTACGTATCGGTGCAAAAATATTTGAAAAATCTGTTGAATTGTGTTCGATTTCGGAAACCTTTCAACAATTTATACAGGAATAAAAACGTAGAACATTGGAATAAAAATGAAATAGTTATGTACAGAGTATCTCTAAATAGCTAGGTGTTTATATTTGTTTATGTTTTTGTTTCAGATTGTTCGGTAAAGCTGCGCGCACTTCGATTTGGGCGAGTGCACTCCGGATATTTACCGCATACTCGTGGTTGCAAACTGCTCATCCCAACTCCATCACCAAAGAGCGCACTACTCGTAGAGCTTCACAAGATCAACGTCCCATGTTCCACGGGATATATTCGCTTCGCTCTCACCTCGCCCGCCTTATGTGGAAAACTAGAACAAATACCTTCACCTAATAGGAGATTCGTCTATCTGTCAACGAGTAAAAACCCTGAAATTGAACTCCATGGTCGACCCACGTTCGCCGTGACGTACCGTTTAGTAGATTATTGTTATGATGTTCTATTAACGGCAAGAAACGGCTCGTTCGAAGTCGAACCAACTAGCAAACTCACATGCTCTTATAAAATCCACTTGCCATATGGGAATAAAGTGGCTCTACGCTTACAAATGGGCACAGGGCCCACAATGAACAGAGAAAACGATCTCGCAAATATAATACACGAAGATGCACAAGCGCAATGTAAGGGCATGGAACTGAGTCTTGAAGATGGGGAATCTCAATGGAATCACTGTTCTCAACCTGGGGATCCCTTACGCAGCGTTCAGATAGTCTCAGAAAGAAACTCTGTCCGGCTCAACATTAGTGTCCTTGGGACAAAGAACACATTAGCAATGTGGTTGAAAGTCTGGTGGATGGATAAGCCGATAGAGGAAATTATTGGTCACTGTGATTATGGGTGGGTGCTATCGGGTGACTTTTGTATAACAGCTGTCAGAGGAACCAAGAAAACGTGGCGTCAAGCTGAAATGGAATGTGTGAGACTTGGAGGACATTTAGCGAGCGTTCTCAATGAGCGGCAACAACAAACAATGGACCAACTTCTTTTACATGCGTAAGTAACATTAATTTCAATTAGCTTTATTTGAAATATATTGTAGGACTACTTTCCTGCCTGGGGGTTTGTCTGAGTCGCTTGTACAGTGCATGCATAGTTGTATTCAGCTCTAGAGGTTATAGAGAGCCTGCATAATCACAGGCTTCGAAGCATTTCATTTGAGTCCTCAGAGGTGACAACGCATCTGTAAGCTTATTGGTTCGATGTTAGATGCAGGTAATAACAGTAATAGACCGCAATAACCTCTTACCATCTGTCTGTAAGTTCCTTTGTCACTTTAATTTTGTTTAAAAAAAACTCTTAGTTTTATTAGAATATATTAATGACTAGCGGTTCGCCCCGGCTTCACACGGCTTCTTTCTTATGTCGACAACAGCGCCACATACTGGGTCCTATTGTGAATCAGAATCATATAGAGACCACGAAACGCACCCAAAAATTGCACCAAAATCAGTCGAGACAATTTCGAGTTTTAGCGAGACTAACGGATAACCATTTATTTTTATATATAGCGATGAATGCTATACTAAGACTATATTATGAAATAAATTTTATCATATTTTTAACAAGCGACCGGTCCCAGCTTCTCCTGGGTTGGATCTATTAAAGTGGCGTTATTTAGTATGAAATAATCTAAAACAAATGTTTACATTTATGTATCGTTTTTTTTTTAAATCTCCCAAGTTTTTTGAATAAAATATAGCCCGAATCACTCCTGGCATTATTAAATGTGTATGTTGAATATACATAACCGACTGAGGTTATATATATTTAGACATTGTATTTGTTTTGTAGCCAGGAATAACGAAATATTATACTGAAGTGGCAATGGGGCAGTCGTATAGCTCGAAGAACCGACAACCGATGGAGAAAAAAGGTTCTCGAGTGGCAGTCTCGTACCGGTAGTCGAAGTGTAGGGCAACCCTCCACTAGATGGAATGACGACCTGGTGCATTACAGCGCTGTCTTCAGCAGGTCCACTGCTGAGGAGGCTTATGTTCTGCAGTGGACCTGTGAAGGGCTGTAATGATTATGATGATTATGTACAAAATTTTTAATTTTACCACTTATTTACCACTTAACCACTGGCTCGGAAAAAACTCTGTCCAGAGAAGAACTAAAAATAAACCAAGCGGGATTTTTATAATTACTCTGTATAAAGACCGGAATAAATTCGTAGTAAAGCTCATCGCGCCACTTAAAGGGCAGAACAGAATCTGCCAGGGTAGCTAGTTTAATATATAATATCATTCGAGCATGACGAAACAAATATTAAAATGTACTTGTTCAACTAAGCTAAATAAAAATGTTCTTCTTGCGTTAGTCCAACTTCAAACTTTCATTTAATTTTTGCATCAAAGGAATTGCTTCTAGTTTCCATTAGCTCCAGAGCCTCAGGCACGAGTTTAAATGTTTCTACGCAAAAACTTTCATCAGATAGATAATTGTCTGCATGCTGAAACTAAGCAACAGGGCGGTAGACAAAAGTTTATAATGTAATTTTCTTATAACTTGTGGTGGCCTTGTTATTAATTGATTAAATTTTTAAGTTTGTATATTACTTTCACTAGTAATGTAATGTATTTTATATGGTAGAGCCATGCTGTTATAATATAGCTAGTAGCATGAATCGACTCCACCGGGGTAGGACCAAGCTCTCACAGAATAAGTACCAGCATTGCATCTTAATTTTCAGGGGTAACAACGCATCTGCCTTTTGATTCTTAATCGAGTATGTATGTAGATGTGATGTGAGTCTATGGGCCACAGCATCCACTTACCATCAGGTGAATTGTGTGCTCGTTATTCACTCTGGTCCTATAAAAGTACAGACTATAATATGTTTGACATCGGCAGTATGAACATAAATATAGGATAGACTATTACGGTCTCAGTGGTGAGTGATAGCGTTCTGTGATTATGTATTTGATATTAACAGTATGCACGTGAACAATGAATTTATTTACTTTAATTATGCCAAATTTCTCACTTCTCTATGCGCACTATATGCTTAAAAACGAGAACAGCGTTATTCCATTACGTATTAATTATAAAGATGTAATACAACATGAAGAGCAACTAACGAGATAACTTTAACTTAGGGCAAGTGGCTATCTGCAACTAACTTCAAACAAAGCAGGCGATAGATGTGTTGTGTTTTTGCGACTCCTGAGGATTAAGATGAAATTTCTTTCATTTGTGTTTACACTGTCTTTCATACATTAAATGCGTTGGTACTTAACCCAGACGAACTCCCAGTCAGAAAAGCAGCCCTAACACCTCGGAAACTATTTTTTTATTATCTTCATCATCATTTCAGCCCTTCACAAGTCCACTGCTGAACATAGGCCTCCCCCAAGGAATACCACAAAGCACGGTCCTGAGCCACCTGCAAGAATCGACTTCCTGCATGTCTTACCAGGTCGTCACTCCATCTAGTGGGGGGTCGCCCTACACTCGCCTACCTGTACTAGGCTGCCATTCGAGAACCTTTTTTCCCCATCGGTTGTCGGTTCTTCGAGCTATATGGCCGGCCCATTGTCACTTAAGCATCCAACTTCTTTATTAAGCTTCTACCATAGTATATTAGAATCGACCCACACGTACCACAACCTCACCACATCGCAGCAACAAAATGTTACATGATTATGTACATCAAATGAGGAATTTGTAGTAATTAAATTTAATTTATGTTTGACTTTTTAAAATTTATATATGTAAATTTAGGTAACATTTTTCAATAAAAAAATAGAGGAAAAACTGAAATAAAAATAAGAAGCAAGCAGTCTCTCCATTATACAACTTAAGCTCTCCAAGCGAGTTGGTAAATAATAAGCAATTATCCTGCCTATGTGTTAATCATAATGACTATACGGCATAATGCTCTGTTATGGTGATAATAAAGAAATAATTCTTAGGTACTAAGAGTATTGCAATGACTAGCATTTAAACCTGACAAACCATTTATTTTATTTCATTTATTCATGATTCTTAATTTGTCTTACGGGCATCAATAAACAACTCTTAACTCTGGTATAAACATGGTATACACTGGAGCTCATTCTTTTTTTTTCTTCAACTCTACTTTGCGGCTAATTTTTACTAATTTTCAATGTCGGTTTCAGGCCCGGTGCAGGAGTGGATGATGTGTACTGGATAGGCGCCACGGATGCAGTGCACGAAGGGGAATTCCGATGGTCAGATAGCTTGCCATTCACATACGCACGTAAGTTAAGCTTTATATAAAACTGTGTGTGTAATATTCGCGTAAATATAAAAAATTATTTGGTATACTCTTTTTTATTTTACTTAGTTTTTTTTTAAATTTAAACTTACTAGCTTATCAAACGTAGTAGTAGTAGTTTGCAAACTACTTAGCAAGTTGCTTTGAGCAGTTTCCGCACAGGCAGTGACTGGCTTTAGTAATTCGTGAGCATATATGTTACTAAAACTTGCGGTCCTTTCTGCCACCGATCCCCCACCCATAGTCACAGAGATGGAGCACCATGGGTGCTGCAAAGTACCCGAAACGTCGGGAATTAAAATAATTAAAAACGAAATAAATTTATCACTCATACCTGATCAAAATATCTTCTTGCTTAAAACATTTGTTTCTTGTCACACAATTTTAATAAATTAATAAATCATCTATGCATCAAAATAATATTGCAATATTATATACTATTTAAATAGGTATTCTCGGCTTAGAATTTTTTAAATAGGTACAGAAATAAATAAATTTTTCGTTCAGTACTTATACACAACAAACACACTTTTCTTTAAGGAAATATAGCATTAGAAATTATTCTATATTAATTTAATAAATACAATAAGCTAACAATAAGCAATTAACAGTTCCCCATATATCTAGTTGAAAATAAGACGTCTTACGTGGTAGAGCCACTCTGCGGCTCTAATATTGTTGTAGCACGAATGAGTCAGGTTGACCAGGGCAGGACCTCGTTCTCATAGAATTCCAGAGTAAAATAGCAGCTTAATATCTCTGCGTTTCATATGGTGAGTGTAGAGAACCAGAGACTTAGCATTCTTTTTAGTCCGCGTGGCTGACAACGTATCTGCATTTTGATTCTGAATAAATAATAAATGTACTGTACTACCGTCGCTATTATTCTATAAAAAAATATTATCTAAAAGAAAATCTATTTGAAAACAAGATTATAAAACCAGTGCGTGAACCATACGGCTCTAAGACGTGGTCTTTCACAGTTGGCCATAAAAGGAAGCTCAAGGTCGCTCAGTGAGCTATGGAGATGGATATTCTTGGGGTTTCTCTGCGTGATAGACTAAGAAAGGAAGATACCCGCAGTAGAACCAGAGTAACCGACATAGCCCAATTAATAAGTAAGCTGATGCGGCAATGGGCTGGCCATATATCTCAAAATAGAAAAAAAAGGAAAAAAAAGAAAAAAAAGAAAAAAAAAGAAAAGAAAAAGAAAAAAAGAAAAGAAAAAATAGAAAAAAGAAAAGAAAAGAAAAAAATAACTGACAGCCGATGGCGAAGGAAGGTTCTCGAGTGGCAGCTTCGTACTGATAAGCAAAATGTAGAGTGTCCCCCCACTAGGTGGAGTGACGTAATGGCCGTGCTTTGTGGCATTCTTTCAGAGATTTAAAGAGCACTTTAAAACTAAGTCTGCTAATTTATTTCGAACAATCAACAAATCCTTGTGCTATTGCGATTAGAAAGGTCGTAACTGCCACGGGAAGTCCGTGACAGTTACATTTCTCATTACTTGGAGCACAAGATGCATTTTAATGTACATCTGGAGTTTGTGTTATTAAGCCAACTTCGAAAAAGGAAGGCGGTTTAAAATTCAACTCTATGTTTTCTTTTGCATCTATGCTACGCGATATCTTTGTTAACTGTGAATCGATTTTGATGATTATTTTTTTATTGAATAGATTATATTTTAGGAGTTGACTACTCCTAAATTAAAAAAACTAACTAAAAAAATTCTGTGGGAAAAAATCCACCCCTAAGAGTGGAAAATAGAGTATGAAGCTTGCAATTTAAATATTGTTACGCGCTCAACGTCATACACTAGCGCCATCTAGTGTCAGGAACGAGAGCGAGGGGAGCTTTGCAGAAAATGACATCACAAATCTTTCAACCGACAGCGCCATCCGAAGAACTAAGTTTCTACTGTGTGTGTTTAATTATTAGTGTTTTAAGTTTTAATTTGTGTAAAGTAAATTAAAGTGTTAATTTAGGTAATTTTATCGGCAATTTTTATTGTCACGAACCTCAAGCTCGTAACAATTGGTGTCAGAAGTGGGATAAAATCATGCCGATTTTACCTAAGGAGCAAACGGAGGGTGGCCGTACCCGAAGTCAAAGTCAGCAGGAGACGGACCAACGAAGATTTGGTGGTGCAACGCCGCAGACGTCGGAGGGCCAGCCACCGGCTGCAGGCCCGTCGGTAGCTCCTACATCTGCAGCACCTGACTTAGGTGCTCTGATGGTGATGCTGCAGGAGCAGGCTCGCCGACAGGAGGAACAGGTCCGTCGGTTGGAAGAGCAGCTGCGGGGTGGACAGGATGAACAGGTTCGCCGACAAGAGGAACAGGCCCGCCGACAGGAAGACCAGGTTCATCGTTTGGTGGAGCAGCTGCAGGGCGGACAAGAGGAACAGGCCCGTCGGTTGGAAGAGCAGATGCTCCTCATGAAGGACCTTCACGCTACCTTCGTGAAGGAGATAAAGGAGGTTAAGGATAGGGTTGCTCAGCATGACAACCGCCTGTCGGAAGCTGAAACCCAAATCGCGAAAGCTGAAAACCGAATCGAGAAAGCTGAAACTCGAATCGACCAAGTAAACAATCGGGTTGACAACGTAATGGCTGCCATGAAGAAATCACTGGACGAACTCAAACTTGGAGATGGAGCTACAGCTCGCGCAGTAGCTATAACACCTTCGCTACGTGGGTTCAAGGTGCCACCGTTCGACGGTACCTCTTCCTGGTCAGCCTACAAAATCCAGTTCGAAGCTGTTATGAAGGCGAACGGCTGGAATAAAAATCAGGCCATGACTGCTCTCACGCTAGGCCTGCGTGACCAGGTCTTAACATTTCTGGAAGCTCTCGGTGAGGAAGTGACTTATGAGCAACTCCTTTAGGCATTGGAGGCGAGATATAGCGACGCTCACCTGGAACACGTCTTTCGTGCGCAGCTTAAAGATCGTGTGCAGCGCATCAACGAAAACCTGCAGCAGTGGGCTCTAGAAGTGGAGAAGCTGGTGCGAAAAGCATACCAGTCTGTACCTGCGCTCATTGAAGGGAACCTGGTGCAGACATTCATCGACGGCATCCGCGACCTGGAAGTCAGAGCTGCTGTGAGGCTCGGGCACCACGAGATGCTTAAGGACGCCTTGGCCCATGCACTGGAGGTGGAAGCCGTGCGGCAAGATCATCGTTCCCATCGCGTCAGGGAGATTACAGCAGCTACAGTTCGCGACCGCAACAAAGGATACAGCCCTAGGTACTATGGCTGTGGGGAAAAGGGCCATCTTCGATCCAGCTGCCCTAATCGAAGCGCAGAAAGGGAAAGTGAACGATATCAGGAGGGTGGTGCAGCTAACGGCACTGCCTGGCGGCGACATGATCGTCGTTCACCTCACGCTAGGGAGGTTGCAGCAGTTACGGTTTGCGACCACAATAAAGGATACAGCCCTAGGTGCTATGGCTGTGGGGAAAGGGGCCATCTTCGGTCCAGCTGCCCTAAGCACACCCTAGGAAAGGAAGGTGAACGGTCTCAGAAAGGAAGTGCGGCTAACAGCACCGCCCAGCAGCAGCAGGAATACGACCTTACTATCAGACACTACAGCGGGAAATCTCACGGCAACGCAGATGCATTGTCAAGAAGACCTTGTCCTGAAGATTGCAACCATTGTAGTAGGCAAGAGAAGAGTAAGGAAGTGGTATCCGTGAGGATGCTCAGGACAGACCACCTCAGCAACGGGTGGAAGGACAGCCTACGACATGCATAGCAGAAAGATCCGGACATCAAGCCGATTCTGGGATGGATGAAGGCCCGTGCTACCAAGCCTAAGTAGAGGGACGTCTCAGCGATGAGTTCAACCACGAAAAGCTATTGGGCCCAATGGGACAGCTTACTGCTTCAGGATGGAGTCCTGTGCCGTAAATAGGACACTGGTCGAGGAGACAGCTGTCGTTTGCAAATGGTTGTCCCTAAAGCTAAAGTGCCGAATGTTCTACAGCTGTGCCATAATGGTCGTTCAAGAGTCCATCTGGGAGTTAAACGAACTCTACTGAAGGTCCGAGAACAGTTTTACTGAGTCCATTGTCGTGACGATGTCAAGGATTGGTGTCGTACAAGTACAAGTTGTGCGGCCGTGAAGGGACCTCAGACACGTAGTAGAGGAGCATCGAAATTGTGCAATGTTGGTGCACCATGGGATAGGACAGCCCTAGACATTGCGGAGCCGTTACAGAAAGGCGTAAGAGGGACTCCTAAGATCACCCATGTGGATCGCCTGGCGCGTTATTATGGAGCCGATAATGCTCGGGACGAGCATGTCTTAGGAGGGGGCAGTGTTACGCGCTCAACGTCATACACTAGCGCCATCTAGTGTCAGGAACGAGAGCGAGGGGAGCTTTGCAGAAAATGACATCACAAATCTTTCAACCGACAGCGCCATCCGAAGAACTAAGTTTCTACGCTACGCTCGAACACTCGTCGCCTTGCGCGCATTTACTTGAATATTCCGGATGCTTCATTCCTAATTTGTATATATAGGCGCTGCAAGATGCGATCGGGGCAGTATTGGATTTGGCGAGACAAGCGAAGCTTCGGAGCGGAATAAAGTGAATTAGTGTGTTTAATTATTAGTGTTTTAAGTTTTAATTTGTGTAAAGTAAATTAAATTGTTAATTTAGGTAATTTTATCGGCAATTTTTATTGTCACTAACCTCAAGCTCGTAACAATATCTTTACTACATTAAGATTGTGATATTCCTTCAATAACACTCAATAGAATAAAAAAAACTTTTAATAGAAAGTGAAAACAAACTTCAAAGAACTAAAAAGATGAAAATAATTTCAGAACCTGAAATCGCGGCATTACTTCTTTTATAGACTATGTCTTTGAACCGCTTATACTTTTATTAAAAGTATTATTTTTAATTTGCACTATGTAAACATAGTATTGTGGATTCCAGATTTATGACTTTTTTGTGCACTTCGAATAAAAC